ACTCATTCACATTGTCCTGGTTGTTATTTGAGATTTTAACTTGCACTAAGTTCAGCTTAATACGTTCATTGTAATTTAAACAATCATTGGTGGACCATTTTAATTTAGGTAATAAAGGTAATAGCTTCCCCTCATTCTGTCCCTCTGCACCTGGGCTCACAGCAATTAAACTAACTTCACAAGGGAGATGGTCAGACCCCGGGTATGGCACAACTTTAAAATCACTAACCATGGATAGACAGTTTACAGATACCAATGCATAATCAATAACTGAAGAACCCACTGACCCTATAAACGTGTACTCCCCGTCCTTATCACTTCTGGATCTCCCATTCAAAATAATAAATCCCATGTTGTTCATAACATCTAGAATCTTACGCCCTCTCACATTAACTGTCTTATCTTTTGATCTTCTACCATCTTCAAGGTTTGTTGTTATATGCCCTATCTCTCCACCTGAATATCCCTGTTCTTCCCCAGTTCTCCCGTTTAAATCCCCTAACAGAACCCAATTATCCATTTCATTATTACTAATTAAATTAACTAATTCCTCAAAATCTCGCTCCCAGTGGTTATAATTTAAATATAATGGCAGGAAACAAATTGAATTTTGTGCATTAATGAAACTCGCCTTTACAATATTATAATTATGGACCTTATCAACTTCTAAACAATCAATAAATTTTGACTTTTTATTGATAGCAATGATTTCCCCTCCACTATATCTCCCCACCCTTCCTTCTCTCACTGCTAACTTGAAAAACAAACTAAAATTTGACAATTTATCCGAAACTATATTAATATCAGCTTCTGAAATAAAAGTTTCTAACATAAAAACTAAATCATAACTTCTTAAAAATTCTAAAAAATAATTATCATTGAGCTTGTTTTTAAGTCCACAAACATTATACACACAAGCCCTGAAAAGTCCCTGTGGAATACCTTTTCCCGTTGGATGATAGTCTTGACTCGGCTGGTCGTCCTGGGAAGGATTGGCGTCGCCCTCTCACGCCGCGTCTTGGAGTGAGGATGTCATGGACCCATCTGTGTGATGCGGACCCGTGGATGCTGCGCTTCCGGACGTCCCGTCTTCTACCACCTGCTTAGCTGCCTGTGCATAAGTCTGTGTTGGAGTAGGTGTCTGCGTTTGAGATGGTGCTTCCTTATCAGACTTCCGCTGTGCCAGTTTAGTGAGAAAGTCAGAGAAATCGTGACGAAACAGCTTTTGAAGGGCCATCCCTCCGTTTATTGGCCCGTTTCTCAAACACCCTTCTTCCCATGTGAATCGGTGTCCTTTCACATCGAGATGATCGTGGAATAAAGGCATCTTAAGCTTACCCGCCACTCTTTCAATTTCACTCCGCACTGCTACCAAATGGGATCGTCTGTCTCTAATTTCCCTCGGAAAATCCCGATGAATTATATATCCCGTTCCTCTTAACTTTGTAGTCTGGCCGAGAATGTAGGTTATATCCGTATCTTCTGGTATATGGGCAATGATTGACTTCCCGTCTCTACCCAGGGGATGGGCTCTATTAACCCACACTTTGTCTATTCCTAACACATCCTTGCAGAAGTTTCTTACCACCTCCCTAAAGTCAGCATTTTTCCCATACCACGTCAAACCCTTAAAAATGAGGTTGTTTCTTCTTGATCGGGACTCAAGGTCAATTAACCTTTCACAGTTACTTTTCTCCTGCTTCCTTAGGCTAACAACTTCTTCCCTTAAGATCTCATTTTCGGTGACTAATTCCTGTATTTTTACGTTAATGTTACATACATCATCCTTTGTGGCTAACCTTTGAAGCTTCTCATCCAACTTACTTTCTAACAGTTTGCTCATACCTTCCATTAGTTGTGCTAGGCTCATCTCCCCTACTTTTTCGTCACCCATTGCTGAGTTAACCTCGTCGTCCGGACTGTCTGGTGAGATATGTAGTCGGTTGCGCTTACTTCTCGGTTTGGCTGGTGTGAAGTAGTCCCCAATTTTTGAATTTGGCATAAGGAACTTATAAACACAGTCACTGAAACTTCACTACCTCACGGTAACTCGCGTCACCAACTTGCGTTACACTGACAGACGCCTGTTCGCTCCGGACGGTGACGACCACGTTGTCACGGCGCGATCCCGTACTCGACTATTTCACCGTAACGGCAAGCCCTCTGATAACATAAAGTTACGAAATAGTGTCCTCGTAGTTAGCCCTAAGCCCTTATCAACACTCAGATAATCACCACTCGCTATTTACTTTGCTAAATGACTCTTAAATACGGAGCTGATATAAGACTCTACTAACTGCCACTACGTCAGTAGTGCCAACCCCTCCTAAAAACAATATAAATAATCAATCTTCGAAATGAACTCTGTGGTGATACAATGTAAAAACAATCAATATAAACTATCCATAAAAAACAATCTATAAAAGCGATCTGTTAGAATAGTATCATTGACTCCCTTGTCTATGATAGTATGCTGTATTTTGCATTAACTAATTTTATGTAATATTTAAGTCTGAAAATAGCTACAATGTACGGTGTTATGATTTGTTCTTGTTGTAACTGTATTTACAGTTATTATTTAGTTATTTAAAAATTTAATATACCTAGCAGGTACCTTACACATTTTTGCAATACATTAAAATGTAGGCCTAATATCCTTTGCAACAAATAATGAAAATTATAGATAAAAATAAAAATAAAATAACACATACTTGTAAAAGTTTAATTTAAATTTATTTTTTACTGTAATACACATTCTATTTAGTGATTGAATGAAAACGAAACCCCAAATAAAAAATAACTGACATTAATTAATGGAATAATTAGTTATATTTAAACAGGTGCTGTAAGTCAGAGATAGCATTAACTTTTAAAGCTTTAATTTATTTTATAACTTACTACTATGATTTTACTAACAAACCTTTTACTACGTTTATAAGATACAAGTCAAAACAATTTTAAAGTTTACTTTTTATAGATTAATCATTATTCGGTTTAGAACATAGTTATTTTCCCTATAAATGTCACTTCCCACTCTGATATGTTGGCCCCCTTTTCCGACATTTCTTAGCTGTACTAAAACTATTAAACCATAAACTATGACTTATGTTTATTTTCATAATGGTTTTGGTGTGGAATTCTCGTTTGTATAACATGTTAAAGTCCTAGCATGAAAAGTACCATTAAGAACTTAACAAGTTTGAGTTTTTTCTTGACGAGTAAAATGTTAAAGCTAACCATTTATATGAGTAACTGAAAGATGTTTAAATTAAATGTATCCAATATCATCGATTAATACAACACAAACATAACATTCAATACAACATTACTCACTTCAGCTTTGTTCTTTGTAGTTTTTGCAGAATTATTAATAAAATACAAAAAAAAGTGCGAAAATGTCAACCAAAAACACATTGGGAGTAAAGTGATTTAAATTGTTTTGGATAGGCGATAACCGATAAGGCATTGTATCACATTGTATGTATGCGTATGCGCGTGCGTGAGACAGACAGGACTAGTCAGGATCCCTTATCAGCTCATTATCATTTATTGTTGCAGCTGCTTCTGCTTATTTCTTCAATTTCTTGTTTACGATTTAAGTCGACAACGCTCGCCCGCTCCCAATAAATGTAATCAGACGACCCTAGATGTTATAAAATGTCTATATAAATTTTTTTATCGTACTGGAACTGTATGATTTTGACTCTAACGACTAAATTGGAGATCCAAATTTCGACGTATAACCTAATTACTATTTTACAAAACCTTTTAATTGAATGGTTAATATAAACTTCTGCCCCGTAAAATCATGATTGGTATATTCTTAGAGGTAAAAGAATAACATTTAATAAAACATAAACAGAGCAATATTTTTATTTTTCAAAAGTATTGAACAATTAAGGTACAAGTAACAACAACAAATAAGATTCAACTCCATTGAATCTCCATTCAACCCAACACAATTGTACAAGTTACGTTTACGTTAGGACAAGAGTTTTTAGATTATTTATTGTAATTTTTGCCCCAAGCGAAGGGGCCCCTTCAATTCGATCGCCGCGGCCTTACGTTCGTGTGAACGGCTTCATTGAAACTGAAACTGGTCCGTTCAGCCTAGCAGCTATGCTCGTGTAAACTAGGCCTAAGCGCGGGGCCCAGTGCAACCCTGAGGAAAAGTCCCTTGAGTCAAGAATGTTGTTCCTAGTAATACCTTAAAATTCACCTAACAATAACCTTAAATATAGGATAACAACAATAAAGCTGTTAAAAAAGAAGGGCATTCGGTAAGTGTCTGATTAATTTTTGAAGTTATTAATAAAAACTACTGTGCAAGGGGCCCCCTTCGGGGCCCCCCTAGGCCCGGGGGCCCCGGGCGCTCGCCCCGTCCGCCCCTAGGTAAGTTCGGCCCTGCTGTTAGTCCGCAATGAATATTGATTGATGAAATACGGTAACAACTTTTTAAAGATTATCCTTTACTCAACAATACATGACTTTATTCTATAAACTGTATTTAGTTCTAATATTTAATCCTCACAGTTCAAAATAGTAGTAAGAATATATTTTGCCACACTACGAAGTTTTTCGCCATTTTACAAACGTTTATTGGAGGCCGAAAGCTACCTGTTGCTGTCCATGCCAGCTGTGGACCGAGCAGGTTTTTATATCCCTAGGGCCGAAAATCGGGTGCACGCTTACTTTCATAAAACATTAAAATATTAAATATTAAAACACACAATCAGTATCCATGGCATTGCAATAGAATTGTTTTATTGTCACCGCTGCCTAGCAACTATTTATTATTATCTTTGTGATTCCTCAAATTATTTAAGTTGTAGTTGTTTTCACTATTCTATTAGTGTGCATTATTGTGGTGAATAGTGGTTATCGGTTGTTCAACGCAATATTCAGCCTGATGACATATATTTTACATTATCTCTTTAATATTCCCATAATACTCTTAACTCCTTCTTAAAACTCTTACCTTCTAAGCCTCCCATCTGCAGGTCAGATGATTTCCTACCTCACCTGGGGGTGTCTCGCCCTCCTCCACGGCATCAACCCTCCGACGTTCCTGTTCGCCTCGCTGCCGATTTCCCTGACGGGGGGAAGTCCCATCATCTTCCTCTTGGTATACTGCTACATCACCGATATCACTGACGACCATAGCCGCCCCTTCAGGTCAGTTTAAGGTAATAGATACTAGACTTTCTGAAATTTCATAGATTATTCTCACTAACTTTGTCTTTGCCATTTGAGCCACAAGGAGAAATTAGTATTTAATCAGTCGATTCGTTTGGGCTTCTTCGTTGAGGGAGAAAACGTCATAGTGTGAACTGATGTATGGAAATATACGAACGTAAAATTTACCGGGAAACACATTACAGTGAATAAAAAATACCTAACGGGTTCAAATTGTATTGTTATGTCTAATAATTAATTCATTGTTAGTGATTGTAAATTGGTGCTGTTCCTAATTAAACGCGGAATCAAATTATCTTTCATCCTTGTTCGTTTTCGAGTCAGGTTTTTCTAGGTCTTACGGAACAATGTTTTGAACAATACAAAGATAAAACAACTCCCGTTGTGTAAGATTTAGCTTGTTTGAAACGGTTTGGATCATAATTTCTAAGTCAAAAACTTTAAACGTTATTTCCCATCAGAAAACAAGAGCGAAAATTTTAAATATGGGGGGGGGGGGGGGTAAAATTAGAAACAAATAACTTTTTGTGATTCGTGGGTGGTTCGGGACCAAGCCATACAATATTGCCAATAAAGTGCAGTAAAGAAAGTCCTTTGGTGAACAAGTGTTAGTTATGGATACGATGTAACTTAGTGCCTCGACGAAGTTAAAACTGATTGAGTAGCTGATCAACTTATAAGAATATGATTAGGTTAGGTCTAATGTTAAACAAATATTCGTATGGTAATGATCTTCGCTCATTCTCATACGTGACTTCGAAACGTACTCCTATAGTTCGGCCGCTTAGAAAACGACCTGCGCGCTAATGCTAAACCAATGCTGAAGGAGGTCGTTTTCTAAGCGGCCGACCTATAGTTATTTTACTACATTATTTAACTAAACATATTAATAATACACTTTAATGATAACCACACATACTTTTTGTCAAAACTACCAGACTATTATTAAGTCGTACCTTCTAAAACATTGAACTGTCTATTGAGTCCAACTTTGTACCAGGTTGTCATTGTTGACGCTCGCCATCTTCACCAGTTCCATCGTGGGGATCGCATTTGCTCCTGTGATCGTAGCTGTGCAGGATACCCTCAATCCTTATCCTCTTGTGTTCTTCATCAGCACCACCATCCTCGCTGTCACTGTCATCTATACTATCTTCGTCATCAGAGAAACCGTCGATGTCCTTCCAGTAAGTGCGGTCTTGTTAAGATCACTGTGCTCTTTTGTCTTACTTATCGGGTGGGCCATCTTTTTTAGTGGGGTCTCTCAGGCTGACGAATAATAAATATGGCCACATTTATTGTGTAATAATTATTGGGATGGAGACCTCTAGTTTTCGCCGATATTCTTTTTGCCTGGTGGCATTTAAAAGAGGTGTCACTTGATGGGGATCTACGTTTAACATGTTCTAGATACCTAAAAACTTCCCCATTTGGGGTTCCGGCCAAAGCTGGGATACCCACAAAAAGTGAACTTTTATGCCATTTAGGGGTGAGCACAGTTCAGTTTACCTGGTGTAACCCATTAACAAGTTAATAGTGGATATCCATATGTTTTCTTAACTCAGTATAACATATTGTACAGCGAAGTTCTGCTTGGAACAAGGCAAGCAGTTATTTCACTCTTCATGGCAAAAGTAGTTCTATTTCACATTTGGACACTTAAAATTAACCTTATTAATTTAATTAATTAATCGACGGTTTATTAGAACAAAACCTTTAACATAAAAGAATACTCAACCTAAATGTTAATTTGAAACCGCATGGGTCATTTTCTTAAAGGTAACACTATTTGGAGCGTGGGTTGGTGGGAGGGGAAGAGAAAGTTCAAACTTTTAAATTCTTATGGGGTTTTATGAAATTTACTTGTCGTTAATAGTCAATGGAAAACAATTGCCTTAACAGTTTATAACTGGAGGCCTATTTTTGTTATGCAGGACAGAGACAGTTGTTTATTCGAGATGAGTCATCTTACCCACATGGCTGTAGCCTGCTTCTCCAAGCGTGAGGGTAGAGCAAGGTTCATGATCCTGGCTATCATAGCCTGTCTGTCCATCAACGTCTTTATCAATGAAGGTAAACGAAAACAAAACACTTTACTAAGATATAGTACATAAAAAATCTACTTTAGTTGAATACCTGAATACGTTTTCAAAAATATGATTTTGAGCGAAATTCTTTATAGAGTTTGTTCACAAATGTTTACGAGTCTGCTTTTATACATTCTTCTATCAGTGAGAAAAAAAACAATCAGAGGTGGTTTGAGTAGACAAGAAATGTGTACCTTAACTTTGTGTATTAACTTCCACATCTTCATTTGATTTACGTTTAATTGTTCCGTCTGTTAATTCGTTATTTGATTTCAATTTAATATAATTAAGATTGTGTATACAAACCTGTATAGTACCAACTCCACGATCTCTTGCATAGTGTACACTTTTTCTTTTGCATGTATTTAATATTTTATATTTCACAGAGTTTTCGTGTCAATTAGCGTTTGACGTTTGAAATATAGATAACAAGTAAAAAGGGCCGATTCAGTAAACTGTATCTCTACTTGAAAATCTGCAAAAAGTATAGGTGAAAATGTATGATGGTCAGTAACATGGAGTCAGGAAAAAGTAAAAGAAGTTAGTTTTTGCACTCAATATTTTGGGTACCATTAAAAATTGGTTAAAACCCTAATGTAACTTACCGTCTTAAAACATCTAGTTTTGGTATCCTACTTGTAGCTGGTAGCTATGTACAATCTACAAAAATTACATACACTTTTTGTATACACATGTTTTATTTGAAACGTTACAGGCGAAGGAGCGATCCTGTATCTGTCTGCAAGAGAGATGTTTTCATGGTCACTTTCCGACTATACAATCTTCCTCTGCGTCAACTGCATTGCTGGTATCGTATGACTTATTAATAAAAAATGCCTGACGTTCATTTTTTTGAAATGGTTTCCATTCTACAGTAAATCTAATGTCAGTATCACAATGCATATATTTTGTGAGCACGTGTGCTTGACTATTTTGCGTTTATTTTCTAGTGAAGTTTAGAAAATGTATTTTTAGAAAGGTCCAAAACCTGGTTTCGCTAATATACAAAATAACCCCGAAGAGAAATATAATATGAATTTCCATTTAGCCCAAATACCCAATTTTTTGTAAATATAAGGTGGACTAACCCAGGAAATGTCGAATGTCGAAATTATTACTTTCAGTTTTCCTAAAATAGCTACCCCCACATTGGAAACTTAACTTAGAACACAATGTAACTTTTTACCTGGACCTGAGACTAAAGATCTAATGCTCCTACTATACTTCTTCTACCACAACGGAAATTTGGCTCCCTGGCACTCTAAATACAACATTTTACAAACTGATCCCAATATCTACACTTATTCAAAGCAACAGCTTTCTGAAGGTCAGCATTATTTTTGACGATACTTCAATCCAAACGAACAACATTGATTACCTTTTCCTCTTAACAGTAAAATACTTCAATTATTAATCTTATTTTTATCAGTTATTTGACTACAGTGAGAAGTCAGGTAAAAGTAAAAATTTGACTATTTTTATGATTAGTTTTGTTTAAAGCGCATTTAAAGAATAATTAAACATAAACTTATTGAAAATGTCTTAATAATAAATCCTTTCACATGGCTTGTGTACAAAACTGTTTAGTAAAAACACAACATTTAGACTTTTAAAAAGAATACGTAACGGATACATTTGCAATTAGAAAATAAATAAATAAACAACGAAATACTTTATATTTGTGACAAAATATAAAGTCGACGCAAAACCATATCCTGAGAGATCGTATATATGTCGTTTGGTGGCCAATGTTTATGGCGTGAATCCATTAACTCCAGTGTCGATGTGTTCTATGAATGACATTATTCAAATGAACGTCATGTATGGATGATATTATTCAAATGATCGCCGTGTATTATGAACTTTGCATATCATAATTGATTGTCATCTACCGTGTTTTAATGGGTGTGTTATTGTTGTTTGCTAGGTGTTTAATTGCTTTGCGTAACGTAAATGTGTTTGTTATGAAGCATCAATAGTAGTTTCCACATACATTATCTTGATGACATTACACAGTGTTTCAAATAAGCATTCACTGTGTTTTACTGTTCATAATATTGAATGTGGTTTACTTATTTTTTTGTATAACATATATTTTACAAAAATAAAACGCAATTTTAGAGTTGATGATTTCTTTGGACACAAAGTGTGACGTTTTAAGGGTCACTCTTAGTAGCAGAGGTAATTATCCGTTTGAAACGTCTAAAGAACAACCATCTAATGTCACCAAAATTAGTGTAAGGGGAAGGAAAGCTTACTTTAACCAGTTCAAGTAGTAAAAGTAGTGATGTTCAAAGGTGGTTTAGGGTTTTTTGGGTGTTACTAGCCTAGTGATTAGGGTCTCAGTCTTCCGTGCGGGAGAGATGGGTTCGATTCCCAGTACATCCACAAAACTTAAATGGGTTTGGGATACTTCCCTTTGATATTTGATATTGACTGGCGTAGACACAAGCAAAAGACACAAAGAGCGTCAATCTTCAGCTTTCATTCCCAGTAATGGTAAGTCCACTGGCCTATTCTTGCCGTTTATCTAACAGCGCCTCCATCAATAATAATGGTGTTGGTGTTCAACTTTTAATATATATAACAGTTGATTTACCTCACCAAAAGCATGCCCTTTAACAATGGGATTTCAGGTCCTGGGTCCGTGGTAGGAGTATGGCTGTCTACATCACTACTCGGTCTCTCTAACATGCAAGCTGCCTCCGTCACTCTAGCCACTAGATTGATTCGCTCACCTGTCATGGCATTGGCTACTGCAGGATGGCACTTCTACTTGGCCAACCTCGTGTGTTTCTTCTCCTGTGCCTACGCCCCCCTGGTCCGGTCCGAGCTGGGGCGACTGGTGCCTAGGGAGGATCTAGGTATTTGCTAAATACATACTTTACCCATAATTTTGTATAATGCATTCAGGACGAGTGAGACCATGACGTGGTTTTAAAAATCCACTCTAAAATATTTGCCACCATAATTGACTATAAGAACCAAGCTGAATAACATGTGGTTCTCTTTGTTTAATTTTGGCCCATCTTAGCATTCTTTTATGATAAGTTTGTAGTTAAATATTAATACGCTAGTGGCAAATAATCTTATTATTTATCTGGATGTCTTGTATTCTAGCAAGAGTGTTTATATTTAAATAATTTTTATTATTTAAATATTTTGACACACTCTTTTTACAAGTTAACATATCTGTACCCTAATTTGCATTCCTTGTTTTAATTATGGAGCTAGGAGTGTGCAAAATGGATACATTAGAATTTTATTATTTTTTTAGTGTGCTGTGAAATGGTAAATTACTCTTTTGGTTGATGTATACATTATTTGACTGACTTATTGACTGCCCAGGTAAGATATTCGCTTTAACGGCGTTTCTGGAGTCTATGACCACAGTCCCGGCCACACCCCTATACACCACTGTATACACAGCGACATATTTGTACGCTCCTGGCATAGTCTATTGGTTATCTGCAGGCTTCACTGTCATGGCTGTCATATTGTTGACGTGAGTATTTTCATTAATGCAAAACACATTGTTGATTATAATTTAAGGAATTTGTGTTGTTGGTACTGATACAAGAAAATTCTTTCAACTAATTTTTGATACATTTGTAGATATTTGATTGGTATTGTCGGACACTGTGACAGGTCAACGTCTGTTACCATTGCAACTCCTTTTGCATTTAAGTCTTGCGATATATTCAGTATAAGTATGGATGTATGGAAATATGTTTGGAAGGCGTGGTTTATTGTATTGTATACTGGTAAATATACCCAGTGATACTTTTATTGTTATGTATACTTAATAATTTATTTTACAAATTACACCTTGTTATGAGGAGTATTTATCTAAAAAAAAAAGATAAACGTTTAATAACACTAGTAATAATCAAGAAGTTATTGAGTATTTATCGTTTTCATTAGGACTTTAAACTAGATAGGGTGATTTAGCAACTCAAAACACACATTTATACAACTCAAAAGTCACTTCTTGAAACAGTTTTTAGTTTGGAATAAAATAACAATTCACGTATAGGGAACCAAAAACCTACTGCAGGGAGAACAGTGTTTCAGGGACAAGCTATTTAATTTGGAATGTAAAAAATAACATGCAAATAAATTAGAAAACTTAGAAATATAAAAATATTCGTTCAGCTGATTTTCCATCTGATCAAAAATTTTGTCCTATTTAAAAGAACATTTAATGTTCTTTTAAATAGGACGTAAAGAAAATTTTCCGAACACACTGAACATTTTCCGAACACATCGAAGATTTTCCTCCAATACATGCTTCAATTATTTGCGATTTATTGTTTTATGTTGGACTGCACCTCACACAGGAACGTCTTCAAAGAATGCCTTATGAAGTAAACAAATCACAACTTGTAGAACAAATACACAAATACACTAATACAATAATAAACCATCTGTCACCTACATAATGTCTCGATACAAAGTATATGTTCTCAGGTCAGTGGTGATAGCTCAGAGGACGGTGAATGGGGCGTGTTACGTCACAAGAACACATTCCAACTACGCCAGAATACACGAGTGAACTTCAAATAACTCACCTGCAATCCTATCTGTGATATTAAAGCTTTGTATAGATTAGCTAACTTCGATAAACCTTACTGTATACGATTAATAATACTCTCATAGTATGAAAAGAGTTTTGTTTGACCTTATCCGAAATATTAACAAAAGGATATTATATGTTCGGTTAATTTATAACTAACCTCTACCAAAAACACCCACTTTCATCGCCAAGTTTTTTTTTTTTATTTTGCCACAAACTAACCATAAAAATACTGAAGCAAAATCAATAGCAGTAAAAATTTAATTGCGGGATATTTATAGGCTTGACTGATGAAACAGTTGATCCTAGTCCATAACAAAGCTACACAAGGCATCACACTCCATTCTACACTCATCCTTCACTCATATTTGAGTTAAAATACGCATATAGTTAATGAATGAATTCAGAGATAATGGGAGTGTTGAAACTGTTTATTTATGTACTTAATCTTTTGTTGGCCTAGTGTTGCAGTTAAAGAGGTTTTTAATTAACAATACAACACTTTAATTATTTAACTGTAGAGACTGACCATACTTTATCATTTGACATGAATTTAACCATTGTCAAACAAAAATAAATTGTATTGACACGTCTTTAAACTCTCTTACGAGAGGATGTTTCTAGCCCATTTGAGTCACAAAATAAAAGAAAATTTGTCGGTGACCTAAAGTAAATTAATTAAATATCATTTTAAAATTATACTATAAATTAAACGTAAGTTCCGTAAAAAGTCAAGTATTAAATATACTCTATTGTGTAAAATAGTAATTTTATTTATAGAATTATGTGACCAAACTGTTTGAAAAAGGGTGGACTATTGCAGCTTTTCAAATCAAGGCTTCAATAACAAGCAAGTTCGCCGTTTCAAAAGTAAAGAGTTTAACTAGGATATATTTGCAATCAACAGGCTATTGCAATTTAACTAGATAATAGCTGCAACTACAAAAAAATTATCAATCTATCAGATTGGTGGTGTTAGGTTCAGAAAGATATTGTCAACATTAAAAATGAATTGTTTTAAGATTTTGATTTCTATAAAGGTGTAACTTTAACTTTGAATAATTGTAGACTCGTCTTTTTAATCTAATAGTTATTTTCCTATGGTATAATACTATGGCTGATCAATTGTATATACACGTAGATTTTAAAACTGTGTAAAACTTAGTAATTACATACAACTAAATCACCATTTTAATAATAACTCAAATTTTCTTCAACGTATAAAAAAGAGGGCCAGGAGGGTTGAAAACAATTATTTTAATCACGCCTCAAGTTGATACATTGCTATTATATACCATTAAACTAAATGCACTATCTTAAAACGAATCCAGAAAGACATCTCAGCATGAATCAAGATGCAAACTATTTTATTGAAGCCATTCCTTGAGATATGTACGTGATAAAATCTAATATTCGATACGGCAGAGAAATCAGAGAGAATTTATGAAATCTTCAATCTAGGAAGGTAGAATATCGCTTATTCGAAATGCTTCAAACTCAATGTAAAACATTGTCGTAGCGTAGATATTTACCTTTATCTTACTTACATTTACAAATTAGTATAATTTATTTAACCCTATTAAAGAAAAATGTATAAAATATATAACATGCTTTTTTCATTAGTAAAATAATAGTTTTCATTTTGATTATAAAATAAAAATTTGTTTTGCTTAAACATAGGCTTACATATAAAGAAAATAGTGATTTTTTTACTTATAGATCAATAGGCCTACTATTAAAATAACTTTGAAACTGAAGTAGACATCCTATCCATTTGAGCCATTAGCTTTTATTGATTCAAAATGATTACAGTTATAAAATTCATATGAGTGCGCCATTGTTGAATAAGTGTATGAAGCTCTTGTTTAAGGAACAAAAATGAATGTTCTCTTTATAGAACTGGCTGCAGCCAAAATGGTTTACCATAGTTTTCAATTTAATATGATTTTTCAAACTATAGGTTTTGAACATACCAAGCAGAACTCAAAATTATAAAATATTTTTTGGATATTTTACAGTCTAAAAACATGTTAAATCTAAACTGTGTCATTTGTTACTGAGGTTATATAGGTGTTAGGTAATGTTGCGATATGATTTTTATGTATTCTGGTTGTCAGTATTTCTTTGGATTATTGGAAATGTCTGATGGGGCCCAGATAATTGGACCTTTTACCCAGACCAGGAAGACAGCCCAAGCCAGCTTTGATTACACTTATTTAACTAACACACTTAAATACCCTAATTTTGATTGGCTATAAACATAAAGAACGAATATTTTGACAACGAGTCAATCTGACATCAATATCTATGTTCCTATGCGAATAGCCAAAATTCCGCTAGCGCTTTGTAATCATGCCAGTAATTAGAAGTTTTTTTATTTGTTTTTAATAAGTATCAAAGTTGCTTTTTCTTTCTTATTAGGCTGCAATATAAAACGACCCACTCCCACGCACGGGTTTTCCCATGTGGGTTTAATTTCGTATACTTTAAGGTATTTAGTTATAGTTCTATTGTAATACATTATTTGTAAAAACTGTAAAACAATTATTTTATACGGAATAAAAGAAATTTTGATTTGATTGACACCTTCCAAACTAATATATAAATATATGTGAAAAACCTGATTGAAGCAAGAATTGGTTGAATTGTAACTGGTAGATGAACTTAGCAACCCCTTTTACCGGCAACTTAATCTTTTGGAACATGTGCTTTGAAACATGAAAAATATTGTTTGATTCCGTTAGGCGGAATCAAACTTGAAAGCTAATTACTACATTTTCCAGCGTACCTGCGAAGCCAGTGGGTTCCCCCCTGAAATTTACTTCTAGCCTAACGTATTTTTATATTTTACTTAAAACTAATGAGCTAACTTAGCCTTGATGATTATTCATTTTGCACGAAGTTTGAAGACTTGAAGCCTTTCAATTCACGGCAGCGGGCAGAGAGGGGCGAGAGAACAGGTGAGCCGGCTGAGTTTAGAAAAAGAGTGGTTCAAGAAAAAAAACCCGGTCGAACGGCATGCTAGCGCGTAACGCCATGAAGCTGTGGCGCTTGCGTCACAGTCTTAGTTTTTTCGTTGATTTGTTTAAGGTGGATTTAAGCATTATTTTATAACCTTTAATCTCAATAAATATTTAAAAATCTTAATAATTACAGCTGTATTCCAATAGTGATAGACATTAACACACTTTCAATATGTCTACCCGTTTCACAGGCATAAAAAACCCTAACACATTTCTATATCACATGAGAATTCACCATTAACTCTGGCGTAAGAAACGAAAATATTAACTTTTAAATAAGATTTGGAAGGTAGACCAGAGATTAAAATATAAAAAAAACCACGTTTACGATTGCTTTACAAAAGGTAGAGAAATATAAACCTAAAAGTTAGTTTAACGCTTTTAATTGAATCCAATCAACACATTACATGAAAAGTATACAGTTTTATGTCAATTTAGTTGAAAGGTTCTAATTTTTAAGCATCAACAACTCAATAGTCTAACATAGAGTATTCCTAAATCCCCTTTAGTAGGGGCGTGCTATGAATATGTTACAAGGTTCATTATCTTTAGTGCTTGCTATTTGTGTCGTGTTTCACATATTATCAAGGGATTTTATACATCTAGTTTACGTGTAGCGTTTGATAAGCAAGGCCTACTGGGATCATCACGTCCATAATGAATGAGGCCAGATATGGGACATTGGTCGTTATAATGCAGGGTACATTTAAGAGAAATTTGGTCTTTTAACGCAATAGGAAATATACATTTTGACGAATAAAATAATGAAAGATATTTCAAATCAAGTTTTATTTCGTTGATTTCTTTTACTCAAAGGTACAAATGGTTTTACGCTACATTTAAAGTAAACATACAAACTGGGACGTTACCTTATTCTTTAAAATATATTTGAAAAAATTCGGTCCTAATGTGTTTGAAAGTTTGTTATTTTTTCGAAGGTTGCTTATTTGGTCTAAAGGTAGCTATAATATTTTGGTTATTTAAGTAGAGTTTTGATATAGGGGTTTTTTACAAGGAAGGAATTTACAGGCACTCCAAAACGTAGTGTAGTTTAAATCAATAGCTACAGGAAAATTAAAACTACTATATCACAAAATTTAATTTGGATGTGTAACACTTGTGTCAATAATAGATAATGATTTTTCTATTTCTAAAGATTCTCGTGGTTCTTTGTGTAATTTTAATTAAAATTATATTGAAAAAGGTTGAAATGTGGCGTAAGGAATCTTCTGTTTAACGTATATTTTAGGTCTTTCAGGACTTGTTCTATTAAGTTTCCCATTCAAATAAACTGTTTATTTCAACGAAAGTTTACAAAAACTATACATATAATACCCCCGCCGCAGCAAACCTGCCGACTAAGCGAATTTCCATTTGTCTGAATTGATTTTCAGTTAAATATATTTTAATAACATTAGGTTTAACGAGTACCTAGGTTTGCTGCTACAAGGAAACTAATAAAGTGTGTTTTTGAGTAAAATATTGATAGCTTAGTACAAAATAAATAAATTTGCCAAGTTTGATCAAAATATATTCATAAACAAGCAAACTACAACATTTGACAATATTCTCCATAAGAATAACATGGGAATTTAAAATTTAAATTTTTTTTAATTTTCTCCGTTACTAATAATTGAACAAAAATACTTTTATATACTAAATTATTTGTTTTTTTTAAGCTCTTTAAAAAGGTCTAAAGAGAAATTGGGAAATTTTGTGTTTTGAGGGTCAAAAGTGAGAAAAACCAATTTTTACCCCATAAAACCCCCCGTAAAGCCCCCTTCCCATGGTCCGATCGTGCTGGTTCGCGAACTCATTCAAGTTTATCCCGCTTTACACCTTTAAACCAAATTTCATCAAAATCGGACAAAAATTACTCAAGTTATCGCGTTCACGGACGTATATATATATATATATATATATATGTCTATATATATATATATATATATACATATATAAAAATTTGAACGAATAGTGTTTTTGGCCTCTGGGGACATCAAAATGAAAAAGTAAATCGGTCCCGGGTCTAGGTCTTACCGTGCCACCTACGGTAATAGCT